TTCCTTCCTTCCTTCCTTCCTTCCTTCCTTCCTTCCTTCCTTCCTTCCTTTCTAGATAGGGTCTTACTATGAAGTTCATAGCTTTGAACTCACTGTGTAGCCCACACTGGTCTCAACTCTTGGTGATTCCCCTGCCTCAGCCTCCCAAGTGCTGGTATGACAGGTGTGTGCCACCACACCTGGCTTCTTTTTGTTGTTGTTGGTTGTTTTTGTTTTTATTTTGAGACAGGGTCTCGCTGTGTATTTAGGTCAGTCTGGCCTTGAGCTCACTTTGTAGCCCAGGCTGATCTCAAACTCACAACAGTCTTTCTGTCTCAGCCTCCAAGTGCTGGGATTACAGGCATGTGTTCTTTTTTTTCTACTTTTATTTGGAGGCCAGGCCTTCCACAGGGGATGCAAGCACAGTATTTAAATCTGTACTCTCACCCCCTTTTCTTTTAAATGTGAACATTGTTGGGAGAGAGGATCTCGCACTGAGCCACACAGGCTGCCACACACCCTGGAAAAAGCCAGGGTGTGCAGCCGATGGTGCCCTGTGATGGACACGCATGCCGCCTGGTCTGATGGGCAGGTTGCTTCCAGCCTCGTGACCTAGCATCCCTGTTGCAGATTTCTGTTCCTTCTACAACATCCTAAAAACGTGCCGGGGCCACACGCTGGAGCGGTCGGTGTTCAGTGAGCGCACAGAGGAGTCCTCAGCCGTGCAGTACTTCCAGGTAGGCAGCGCCTGCCGCTGGGGACCCATCCCACCTGCCTGCCTGCAGGAGGCTGACCAGCTCAAGCAGGCCCACCTGGGGTCCTGTCTTGGCTCTGTCCCTTACTGGCTGCATGGCCTTGGACAAGTGTCCTCTGTTTGCTGGGCCTCAGTTTCTTCATTTGTGACACCTGAGAGGGTTGCTGGAAGGATCTGAGTGTGGGTAAAGCCCAGGCCCTAGGCATCTTGAGCAAGGACAGAACTGTTGCACTGTCCTGATCCCCACTGTGCGCCAGGCACGCTCTGAGCTCTTCTGGGCCCAGAAGCACTAGGACTCTCCCAACAACTCGAGGAGGTAAGTGTTGTTATTGTCCCATTTTACAGATGACAAAACTGAGGCTCAGAGAGGTTAAGTGACTTGCCCCAAGTCACACAGCTCTTATGCAACAGAGCCGAGATGGGAAGCCAGGTCTGCCTGATGCCAAAGCCTGTGGCCCTGCAGGTGCCACGCTGCCTCCCGATCGCCTGTTGTCTTACAGAGAGACACCGCACCTCACCTGCCTGCTGCTCTGAGCTCTAGGGTTCTGGCCCACCTGATCCTCCTCCTCTTTGGGGCCCTGAAGCTGGGGCAGATGGCCCTGATGCCAAAACACCACCTGTGGCAAAGCGTACTGTAGCCTGGGTGGCTTCCAGCTCCAGGGGGCAGCTGCTTGTGTCCCTGAGCCACAGTGCTGCTGGTGACCTTCCTGAGGCTGCCCCTCAGGCCGTTGCTCCGTCCCCTGAGCAGCTGGCAGCTGGTGCCAGTGGGGTCTGGGCCTGCAGAGGGTGGCCGCCTCCCCTGGAAGATGGAAGCCCACGATGACCATCCCCCTGCGAGGCGGCTAGGTCTCGGCTGAGCGTCACCTGGGTGCTCCGTGCCATTGGTGTGTCTCTGTTCCAGTTTTATGGCTACCTGTCCCAGCAGCAGAACATGATGCAGGACTACGTGCGGACAGGGACCTACCAGCGAGCCATCCTGCAGAACCACACCGACTTCAAGGACAAGGTGACCCGAGTGGCGGGCACCAGCCCTGTTGCCCTGCTTCTCATCTCTGTGTTTGCTTAATGATATTATCTCATGTTTTTCTGATTGCAAAAAGAAAACCTCTTCAATATGTGCAGTATCATAGGAAAGGCCTCTCTTGTTTCTCTCCAAAAGGTTGTTGCCATTAGTTTAAGGTCTCTCCTCGCAAGTTTTCTTTGAGATGACTTTATTAAGTGCCCCGTCTAACCCCCTTTTTGTCTTTTTCTAAGAAAGGGTCTCGCTACACAGCTAAGGCCAACCTTGAACTCACTTTGTAGGCTAGGCTGGTCTCGAACTTGTAAGATCCTCCTGCCTCAGACTCTCAGGTGCTGGAATGACTGGTGTGCACCCCATGCCCAGCTAGCATAGACTTTTTTTTTTTTTTTTTTTTTTTTGTGGTACTGGGGACTGAACTCAGGAGCCTGTGCTTGCCAGGCAAGTGCTTATTCTACTGAGCCATCTCCTCGGCCCTAGCATAGACCTCTGAGTGAGGGAGCACTCCCTGTAAGGAAGCATTTAGCTCTCCAGCAGTGGACACCAGCCCCAACATACTCATGCGCATGTGCGCGCTCACATGGTAGAAGCCACGCTGCAGCCCCAGGTGGTTTTGTCCCAGGACTAACTGGGGCTCTAAATCAGGGCTCCACGTACTCTTTGAGTTCAGTTCTTCTGTTCAAGCAGCTCACAGTGTGCAGGCAACTCACTTTCTGCTTCACAGTAAAGGATTCCAAAGGCCGCTGATGAAAAGTGGTGTGGGGAGAGGGCTTGGAAGGGATGTGGGAGCCCTCTCCGCTTGGGCAGCTGTCCTCTGGGTTTCTCATGCTTTTCTGCACCCAGCAAGGCCCCCCTCCAGATGGCAGCCCCCTCCCTCGGCAAGTGCAGGGCCCTCTAGAGTGAGGTCAGAGAATATCCTTTTTTCTTTTTCTTTTTGAGACAGGGTTTCACTGTGTAGTTCAGGCTGGCCTTGCACTGATAGTCCTCCTGTCTCAGCCTTGCAAATGGTGGGATTATAGGTCTGTACCCACACCCAGCTGAGTCACAATCTTTTTATAGCCACTTTCAAGATGGAAAGACAAGAAGAACAGTTTCTGTGTCCTGTCATGGGAAAGGGAATGTCTTTTCTGTGGCCCTCAGGGATGGAGTGATGAGCCAGGAATCAAGTCACCAGATTGTAGCCTCACACAGGCCAGGATGCCTGAGTGCATGGTTGCAGGAGGACTCTCAGTTCAAGACCAGCCTTAACTAGAGTGAAACCCTGTTTCAAAAAACAAACAAAAAAAAGGGCCAGAGAAATGGCTCAGTAAAATAAGCACTTCCCTGGCAAGCACAAGGGCCTGAGTTCAATCCCTGGTTCCACCAAAAAACAACAACAACAACAAAATGGCAAACGGTATCCTCTGACCTCCTCAGGCACTCTCCCAACGCCGCTCAGTGCATGCATGGCTGAGTGTGGGAAAGGAGGCACCACTGCGTGTTTAGGTCTCTGGACTTCCTGGGATGTGGCTGAGGGCTGAGGGCGGGACCATAATTGATCCTGTCCCTTCCCCCACGGGGATGAGCCCAGGCTGTCACATGTGCTAGAGCCTTTACTGCAACCAAGCAGTATGCAGTCATGATTAAAAAGATGGCAAGTGGCCCAGATGTCCCCAGATGGTCCCCATCTTCTGATGTCTAGATGTGGTGGCGCGCAGTGCTGTCTGTGTCAGTGTCTCCACACAGATCCTCTGTTTTCGGCTTTCACCAGTATCTCATACACTGCAGGACATGGTCAACACTTTCCTGAAATCAGGCTCGCTGTTGGAGTCCCGGGCTAACAAAGGGCCCCTTAAGTGTTCCGAGCATGGTGGAAGTCAGCAGGCTAAGCTTTTGTAGGTCAGGGGTGTTAAACGCGTTTTCCTTTATTTCTTACTATTGGGAATTGAGACAGAGTCTCAATATGTAGTTCAGGCTGCCTTCAACTTGCAGTGTAGTAGGTTGGCCTCAAAGACAAGAGATTTCTCCTGCCTCAGCCTCCCGAGTGCTGGGATTATAGTTGTGTGCCACTATGCCCAGCTTTAGCCCCTGTTTTGTTTTGTTGAGATAGGGTGGCTGTGCAGTTCTTGCTGGCTTTGAGCTCACTTTGTAGCTTGGGCTGGTCTTCAACTCAAAATGATCCTCCTGCCTCAGCCTTCTGAGTGCTGGGATTACAGGTGTGTGTCACCATGATTGGTTTTTGTTTTGTTTTGTTTTGTTTTGTTTTGAGATACGTTCTTGCCCAGGCTTGAACTCATAGTGATCCTCCTGCCTCCACCTCCTGAGTGCTGGGACCACAGGCCCAGTTCCTTTTAGTTTGTTTTTTTTAGTACTGGGAATTGAAGTCAAACCTCTCACTTGCTAGGTAGGTGCTGTGCCTCTGAGCTACATCCTGGCCCTTCCATTTATTTGTTTTGTTTTTTTTGGGCTGGGGAGATAGCTCAGTGGTCAAAGTGCCTTCTTGGCAAGCACAAGGACCTGAGTTTGATCCAGGTACTGCATGCTTGTAAGCCCAGTGCTGGGGAGGCTGAGACAGGATCACTGTGAGTCTGAGCTATATAGTGGGATCCTGTACTAAATAAATAAAAAAAAATATTTTAAAATAAATAAAAATATTTTAAAATTTATTTATGTTTTTGAGACAGGGTCTCGCTATGCAGGTCAGGCTGGCCTTGAGCTTACTTTGTAGCCAGGCTGGTCTCAACTCGAAACAATCCTTCTGCTTCAGCCTCCCAAGTGCTAGGATGACAGGTTGGCATTACAGGCATACACCATCACGCCTGGCCCTTCCTTTTAATTTTTATTTTGGGAGAGGGTCTTCCTAAGCTGCCCAGGACAAAGCTGTGATCCCCCTGCCTCAGCCTTCCAGGTTGCTCTGTAGCTGCCAGGGGTCATCTTGCCCAGTTTAACTGCATTGTCTTCTCCCTTCTTTTCCCCTGGCCCAGCACTCTTCTTCTTTTGAACCAGTTGGGAGCTTGCACTTTCCCTCTGGCTCTTGCCTATTTGCTTGGCCGCAGAGCCCCTAAACCTGCACTCTGCCCTTCAGGCCGTGTGCTGCTGATGCATGGTGCTAAGGGCGGCCTCCTGCTTGAGGCCCCGCCCTCAGCTCAGCCATCCTGGTCCTGGGCTTTTTCCTCCACTCGCCCCACCTTCCCCACCTTCCCTGGGTGTCTTTCCCGGGTGCCTCTCACCAGTTTCTTGGGTCCTTACAAATGTCAGTCGTCCCCCCCCCCGCCCCCTGGCTCTTCCCTGCCCTCCTTAGATTCTTCACTGTTCTTGTTAGTCTTATAACTTAGAAACGTCGTGTAGTTGATGCACAGTCACTGCTGACATGTTGCTAGGTGTGTGGGTGTGCGCTGCATCGGGTCACACCTGGTGCCTGGGGTCAGCGCTTCTCATGCCTACCATTTCCAGATCGTGCTCGATGTCGGCTGTGGCTCTGGGATCCTGTCGTTTTTCGCTGCCCAAGCTGGAGCCAGGAAAATCTATGCAGTGGAAGCCAGCACCATGGCCCAGCACGCCGAGGTCAGTGCCCTGGTGCCCCAGGGTGCCTTGTCCTTACTCTTGGTACCCACCTTGAGCCTCCAGGAGGCCTGGCCTCAGGGCCTTGTTTCTAAAGCCATGTGCTGTAGGGAGGCTGGGGCTTACCACCACCACTTTATATCTAAGGCCAGGAACAGCTTGGGACACTGAGGCCTTGTGCTTCAGGGAGACCTGTGGGGTATATGCCTGGCTTCTCTGAACCCCGCCTCCCTGTGTCCAGTGCAGGTAAAAGCAGTGTTTCATTTTGTGTTTCTGTTGTGATCTGCTTTTTACTTTTTTTTTTTTTTTTCCTAATTTCTGCTGAAACATTCATTCACAAGGTTCAAAATTGGAAGGCTGCAAGTAATGAACAGTGGAAATGCTTCCTTTTCCTGCCCTGGCCACGGTCCTTCTAGCCCCCCCACCCCCCGCCAGGGGGATCCCCAAGACCCTGTTAGACTCCTCTAGGGGCGCACAGGCCAGCGTGGCTTCCTGTTGTCTCTATACCACTGGGGACAGCATCTGCCCTCTGTAGCTGCCAGGTGTCCCTTGGCCTGAGCTGACTTCTGTTTGTTTAGCTGCCCTCTCCCTGGTGACCTCATCTCTTCCAGTCTATCACAGACATTGTCCTGAGCCCCCTCAAATTCGAGGTACTTTTCCTGTTACAGTTGTGTCCCAAGCACAAGTTCCAGTACTGGACTCAGCAGGTTGTGGGGTTCAGCTGCAGTGTCAGTCACGCATGTAGAATTGACTCCCCATCTCTGCTCCCAGCAGCAGACCCTGTTAGGGTGGATGACCAGGTCTGCCACTTGCTGGAAGTGCTAGACCACCACACATGGAAGAGGCCAGAGCTGGGGCTTGGGTGCCCAGAGGAGCCAGAGGCCCGCCCAGGGGGCCATCAAGTTAGGTGCACAGACCCCATGACCCTGCTGCTTGCCTGCAGGTCCTGGTCAAGAGCAACAACCTGATGGACCGCATTGTGGTCATCCCCGGCAAGGTGGAGGAGGTCTCGCTCCCTGAGCAGGTGGACATTATCATCTCGGAGCCCATGGGCTATATGCTCTTCAATGAGCGCATGCTTGAGAGCTACCTCCACGCCAAGAAGTACCTAAAGCCCAGTGGTGAGTGTCGAGGCCACACTCAGCAGCTGCTGGACCAGTGGCCCATGGTGACCTCACTTCCTGCTTGCCTGTGTCAGTAGCCTGGGCGGAGTCTGGGCCTTCCCCTGCTCCCTGTCTGTCCCCTTTCCCATACCTGGTGATGGCTTTAGGAGCCTCAGGACTCAAACTGGGCCAGACATGTCCTCACCCACCCACTTACGCGGCTTCCTGGAGACCTCAGAGAGCCAGCCCCCTCGGTGGGCATGGGCAGGCGGGCACATGTGCCTACATGGGTGAGGCACATGAGCACGTTTGTGTGTGAGGGGTGAGACCACGAGCAGTCTGGCAGGCCCACCTGGCACTAGGCCAGCCTGTCACTGTGTCTGGGTATGAACCATCACCAGGCAACTGTGTACATCTGCCCACTGAACTTTGGCTGCATGTGGCAAGAAAGGGTGGGTATGCGTGTGCGTGTGCAGGCATGAGCGAGGGAGTGCCCCAGCCAGGGCAGTGGCCGTGGTCGAGCTCAGAAGCAGGCTGACTGGGATGGGGGCGAGGGGTGTGCGCCAGGCTCATGAGTGTGTGAGAAGCTCCCACAGGAGTTCTCTGTCCTGGGGGACCTGCCATGGGCCGTGTTCCTGGAGGTGGAGGTGGCTGCCATTCCCCACCATTGTGTCCCACCCCCAGGATGTGTATCTGCTTGAGGCTGTCCCTGTTAGTGACTTTTCCTCACGTTCTTCTTCTTTTATTTTCCCCCTTGCTATGGATTGAACCTAGAGCCTTTGCTCTGAGCTACATTCTTAGCTTTTATTTATTTTTTTCCCAAGGTGAACCTTACTAAATCCCCAAGTTGCTCAGGTTGGACATGAACCTAGGATCCTCTTGCCTCAGCTTCCCAAGTGTTGAGATTATAGGCTTACACCACTAGGCCCAGATCTACTTCCCTCCCATCCTTCCCTGTTGGGGCTGAGCTTGCAGGATTGGCTGCCAGCAGAGGGGGCCCCTCATGGGCTGTGAGGTTAGGTGCCAGCCAGGCTGGGAGCAACCCTAGTTGCAGCCTGCTCAGGATCCAGGGCAGGGGCCGGGGAGATGGCTCAGTGGAATAAGTGCTTCCCTGGCAAGCGCAAGGGCCCGAGTTCAATCCCCTGTTCTGCCAAAAAAAAAAAAAAAGTATCCAGGGCAGTGTCTGCCCCCTCACTCTCTGGCCTGCAGGAGCCGAGGAGCCTCTGGGCTAGGCAAATTCCTGTGATACCACCAGCTCCCCAAGGCAGGTAGCCTGGTGTGGACCCTGGAGCCAAAGTGGAACACCCCCTGCTGTGCCAGTCTTGTCCCCTTCGCCAGGGCTGTGGCTGGGTATTGCAAGTCTGATGGGGCCCCCTTCCCTCCCTGCACAAAAGATTGTGGGGTGGTCCACATCTGGAGGCCAGCTGCTGTCCCAGAGAAGGTGTAAACTCCAGAGCCCTGGCGCATCTGTTCGTTGACTGACAGATGAGGACCCTTGCTTCCTGCCACTTTGAGGCCATACACTGAGCTAGCATGGCTGAGCCGCCTACCCTGCTGGCCACGGATCTGTGCTGGAGCCGGGAGTCCTGGCGACAGCGTTGCAGCTAAGCCTTTCCCAGCCCAGAGCGCCTGCTTGGCCTTCCTCCCTGGGTGTGCCCAAGGTCGGCTCTGATTGACCCCTCCTGCCAGCCTCACATTCTTAGGGACGAAAGGGGACAGTCAGCGGGACCAGAGCTGTCAGTGGATGAGTTGAGCCCTAACAAGCCAATCTGATTGGATGGTTCCCCTTACTGCTATCTTGGAATAGATATGTAGATCCATGGTTCACAAGTCCAAAAGGTTTTACAAAGGAACAGAGCCCAGCATACACACACATGCTTACACACACATCTTTGAGCGTGACAGCAGAGTAGGCACAGTGTCACATAAACACAAAAGGATGGATGGATGGATGGATGGATGAGAGGCTGGAAAGCCCGAGGCCAAAATCTCTCTGGGAGCTCTGTCCACTCCTGTGGGCTGTGCCACCCTGACGCCAGTGCCCCTCCCTACCCCTGCTCCTGCCCCAGGAAACATGTTTCCCACCATTGGTGACGTCCACCTGGCACCCTTCACGGATGAACAGCTCTACATGGAGCAGTTCACTAAGGCCAACTTCTGGTGAGTGTGCCCTGGGGGTCACGTGGGGATGGCTCCAGCCCCCAGGTGGCCCCGCCTCTCCTCTGGCTTGTCCTCCTCAGTAGGACCTGGAGAACTGGGCTGCACTCGAGGGGCCAGCCGGGCACCTGGCCTTTCCTCTGCTGGTGACCTTGCTGGGGCTGGGCTCTCTGCAGGTACCAGCCGTCCTTCCACGGGGTGGACCTGTCGGCTCTCCGGGGCGCTGCTGTGGACGAGTATTTTCGGCAGCCTGTGGTGGTGAGTAGGGCACTGTGGTGTCCCTGCTGGGTGTGGCTCCCTTCAAGTGACAGGAGGGGGCCTGCCCCCTCGGAGCCCCAGCTTCTGGCCTGCACAGAGCGCTCTTCCCAAGAGGCCAAGACAACCCTGTGGTACAAGACATGGGAACCCTTCGGAGGCAGAGGAACCCTGGGAGCAGGCTGCATTTGTTGGTTGATCATATTTACTAAGGCTTTTGAGCTGATGGCACAGATGCACGGTTCACCTGGAGGGCATGACGGCCGAGCCTCCGCCCTCTGCCCCAGCAGCTCCATCCCCCTCCTGGAGCAAACAGCTTGCTCGGGTCTTCTTAAGGGTCACACCTAAATGTGCACTGTCAAAACGTACATTTTCCCAACTTCCTGAAAAATACAGCATAATCAGTGTGGTGATCTACCCTCATTGCCGTAGTCAGGGTCCTTCACCATGTGTGGAGAAACACTTGAGGTCCCAGGCATGGCTTCTTTTGGTAAAGTTCTGTGTGCACTTGAGAAGTGTGTGTGTGCTGGGCCGTTCTGGCAGTTTTCTGTTCACGGCGGCTAGGTCACGTTTGTTAATCGTGTTGCTCAAATCTCTACAATTTTTTTTATCTGTGCAATGGTACACTTGTTCATTTTTCCAGTTTGCTATGCTTCTTTTGCCTTACATTCTTTGATACTGTGTTTGGTGCATAGTTTAGGGTTGTCCTCTCTCTGTTGGATTGCTCCTTTATCATTATGAAATAGCTCTTCTGTTACTATTTTTTGCCTTAATATCTTTTTTTTTCTTTTTCCTCAGTAGTAGCAATTGAACCTAGGGCCTTCATACTGAGCTACATCCTCATCCTTTCTTTTTTAATTTTATTTTTTTGTATTTTAGGGAAGGGTCTACAAAGTGTTCAGGGTCTCACTACTAGATTGGATTTATAGTGATCCGCCTGTTTATAGCCTCCCAAGAGCTGGGATTACAGGCTTGCACCACCATGCCCAGTCTCAGTTGCCATCTCAGTGTGCCCCTGGGACAGGGCCAGCAGGGCAGGATTTTTTCTTTTTTCTTTCTTTTTTTTTTTTTAATATTTTTAGTACAGGGTCTCACTACTAGATGGGACCCGTCTGTTTTTAGCCTCCCACGTGTTGGGATTACAGGCCAGTGCCACCACGCTGTCTCAGTCACCATCTCAGTCCTGTATGGGATCAAACCAAGGCCGCTGTGTTCTGCCTAAGCAGGCACTTAAGTCTGCTGAGCTATCTGGCCGGCCCTAATTCTGTTTTATTTTGAGACAGGGTCTTGCTCAGTGCTGGGACTAGGCTTGGCCTCTGAGAGTGCTGGGCTTACAGGTGCGTGTCACCCACCAGGCCTTTAAGAAAGCCCAAATGTTTTCCTCAGAGTTGAGCTGTACAACACTGACTTTCTCTTGGTTAATCTTTATGTTTCTGTTCTATTTTCAACCTGTTTGTGTCCTTTTTAAGGCTTGTTTCTAGAAAGTAGCACATAATTGAATCCTGTGTTTCAAGTTAGGATTCATTGTCACTTTCTGTCCCCTTAGAGTCTTCCCTGGTTCAGGGAATCTCAGAAGCCCTTAAATACTAGTCTGCCCAACTCGTTCTCCTTCTAGGGTTCTGTTGATGTGTATAGGAGGTCTCTTTCCCCTGTCTCAGATTTTTTTTTTTTTTTTTTTTCGGAACCAGGGATTTGAACTCAGACCTTTGCGCTTGCCAGGCAAGCACTTATAATACTGAGCCATTTCCCGGCCTGTCGTCTCAGATGATTTTTATGCTGTTCCATAATTTCTATTTTTCTCTCATTATCTGAGAGTTATTCTTTCATTTTTGTTTTTTAATGTTTTTTGAGGGTTTTTTCCCCCAAGGCCTCACATAGGCTAAACAGGTACAGCCTGAGTACTTTTTGAGAATTTTATTTTGAGAAAGGTCTATTAAGTTGCCCACACTGCCTGCCTTCAAACTTATAATGCTCCTGCTGCAGCCACCACCAGAGTAGCTGAGATGACAGCCCTGTGCCACTGCACCTGGCTCATTGTCATGTTTTCCTGTTTCACTGTGTCTATCTAATGTTTATTTTTAATTTTTATGTATTTGGTACAGGATCTCGCTATGCAGCCCGGACTCATAGTGATCCACCTGTTTCAACCTCCCCAATGCTGGGATTACAGGCAGCCAAGTCTTAGTAGCCGATTTGGTATGCCCGGGGTAGGGCCAGTACAGCATGTTGTACTGGGGATCAAAGCCAGGTCTTGTGCTTGCCTAGGCAGACTCTTAGACCACTGAGCTATGAGCGATCTATGGCCCAGTGTCTATCTAAAGTGCTTTTCTTTCTTTTTTTTTTCTTTCTTTTCCACTATTGGGTGTGGAACCCAGGGTCTCTACACTCATTTACATCCCCACCTTTTTTGCTATTGTTGTTGTTTAGTTTTAAATTTTTTCTTTTGAGACAGGGCCCAGCCTTGAACTATGTAGCCCAGGCTGGACTCAAACTTGTGTCATTCTTCCTGCCTCAGCCTCCGGAGTTCTGGGATTACAGGTGTGCACCAACATGCCTGACCCTGGCCCTTTTTAAAACCTTGAGATAGTCTCCCGAGGCGTTTACATTCCTCGTGCCTTCTGCTTGGATTATAGACATGTGCCAGCACACCTGGCTTTCCTTATTAATTTTGGTTATTTCTCAGGTCTGGAATTTCATTTTGGTCATATTATTATTACGATACAGGGCAGCTTGGACTTATAGTGATCCTCCTGTCTTAGCTGCTGCAGCACTGGGTTAACAGCTATATGCCATCATGCCCAGTTCTGGGACCAGCCCAGCATGCTGTACCGGGGATCAAACTTGGGTCCTTGTGCTTGCCAAGTAGGCACTTAAACCGCAGAACTGTCTCTCCAGTCCCATTTTGGTCAGTTTTGATGTTTTGGTTTTGCTTTCTTTCTGAGGTGAGGTCTGGCCATGCTGCCTAGCGGGGGCTTGAGTGATTGCTCTGCCTTGTTCTCCTGTGTGGCTGGGGCTGCGTGTGTACAGGCCCGGTTGGTTTATACCATCCAAGTCTCCTGTGAAATCTCTTCTCCCTGGGTGCTGAGAATAGGACCAGGGCCTTGCACATGCCAGGAAAGGTTGAGCTGCTGCTGAGCTACAATCCAGCCCCCCACTTTGTTTTTATGTTAATGTAGAGGTCATCACTTCAGTGTGGGGTAGTGCCACATAACTCCGTGTGGGCTGGTTTTTTTGTTTTTTGTTTTGTTTTGAATTGGAGACTGAACCCAGGACCTTTACTCTAAGACAGGACCTTGCTTAACTGTCCAGGCTGGCTTTGAACTCACATTCCTTCTGCCTTTGCCTCCCAGAGTACTGCTGAGATGACCGGCATGCGGTGGCACTTGGCGGTGCATGCATGCTTGGCTTGGGTACTGGTCTTGCAGCTCAGTCTCTTGGTGCCTGATTATTGAAGGCCAGTACTAAACACTGCAGAAGCTCTGGGGGTTTCTCCCCTTCCAGGGCTTTGATGTTCTCTGGGCAGTTGCTACAGATAGAGGAACCCAGGCCTGGCAGGTGTTTTAGATCTTTGTTTGCCCCATTTCCTTGGGAGGCAGCAGTTCTCACCACTCCTTTACAACCCTAAAGGTCAAGGGTCCCAAGGTCCTTTTGATCCCATGTAGTGTATTGATATGACAGACCAGTATCTATTGGCTTAAGAACTAACAGGAAGGGGCCAGGGAGATAGCTCAGTAGAATAAGCACTTGCCTGGCAAGCACAAGGGCCTGAGTTCAATCCCTGGTTCCACCAAAAAAAAAAAAAAAAAAATAGAACTAACATGAAGACATTTAAAATTGTGAGTTTATCAATTTTTTTAAATTTATCAGTTTTTAAAATAATAGCTTGCGGGGGAGCTGCCCATTAGCTCAGTTGTTAAAGCACCTGCTTATGCAAACGCAGTCAGGTGCAGGATACCACAGTTCAATCCCCAGCCCCACATGCCTTACCAGACCTGCCCTTAAGGCAGCCTGAGCCAGCAAAAAAAAAAAAAAAAAAAAAAAAAATTCTTCTCAACTTTTTTGAGTCCAGTGCCTTAACCACTCAGCCACCACAGCTGTGCATCAACTTTTTTGGATTAAAGGGGCCAGGGATTCGATCCTCTGACCAGCTGTGTGGGCCCCACCTCCGGGGCACACTGAGACATTGATTGAGACTTGGTGGTGATTGAGACTGGGTGGGGCTGGGCGTGGTGGCGCACACCTCTAATCTCAGCACATGATTGGGAGGCTGTAAACAGGAGAATCACTATGAATGCATCTAGTAGTGAGACCCAGAATAACCTGTAGAGCCTTCCCTAAAATACAAACAAAAAGCTGAGACTGGTGGTGCACGCCTATTATCCCAGCACTTGGGAGGCTGAGGCATGAGGATCACCTGGAGTTTGAGGCCAGCTTGGACTGCACAGTGAAACCTTGTATAATAATAATAATAATAATAATAATAATAATAATAAAGCCCATTACATGTTAATATCAGTAGTACTTTTTATGAAAATGAAGCTTTACAAATAAAATTTGAGTAAAAATAGTGTTTCTTTTTTTTTTTTTTTTTTTTTTTTTTTTTTTGGCAGAGCCGGGGATTGAACTCAGGCCCTTGTGCTTGCCAGGGAAGCGCTTATTCTACTGAGCCATCTCCCCGGCCCTAAAAATAGTGTTTCTTAGTTTACAATTCTCTTTAATGTCTGGCTCAGTAGAGGACAGCTGAACTCTGCTCTTGCCTCCAGTCAAAAGGGTAAAAAGGCAGAAAATACTGTGTGGTGGGCAAGTTGCACACCTGTAATTCCATCATTTGGGAGACTGGGGCAGGAGAATCCTGGCGAGTTTGAGGGCAGTCTGGAATACGCAGTAAGACTTTGCCTTTAAAAAGAAGCAGAAAACATAAACATGGTCTTGAGCTTTTAGGTATGCTGCACAGGACCACATGTGGACAGCCACTGTATTAGGGCTGGCCTGCAGTAGTACTTTTTGCAAGTCTTATTCTTGGGTTTTGTTTTGTTTTTGGGGGGTATGGGGACCCAGGGACATGTGTGTACTAGACAGGTGCTTTGCCACTAGGCTACACATTCAACCCTTGGCGTGGGGATGGAGACCAGAGGTTCGTAGGCGCCTCCCCCGGATTCCCCATGGCCAATCATGGCTCAGCATTTTCATCTCCTAGGACAGCTTCCTGTGTGGTCTTGGCCTCCAAGGGTACCTCGTGGCCTAGGACTGGGGCATGCCAAAATGTGACCTCGCACACACATCTGCCTTCCGGATTTCCTCCTGTCTTGGTGCCCCTGAGCCCTGGCGGTCTGATGCACAGAGCCCCCTTTTTACTGTGCTCACCCGAGAGGCCACTGACAGGCCTCCTTGGGGGCAAGAGTGGGGCGAGGAGGGCTGCCCTCAGCAGCTTCCATTCTTGCTAGGGTGAGCATTTGGCTGCCAGCCTGTTCCCTGATGCTGTGAGCAGCTGATTGAATTTTCTTTGTAGCTTGCTCAGTCTGATGTAAAATAGTCAGCCCCCTTTTTTTTGAGGCAGGATCTTGCTAGGCAGTATAGGTTGGCCTTGAACTCAGCAGTCCTGCCTCATCCCAAGTGCTGGGATTCTAGGAGTTTGCCACCACCACTCCAGCCTCTTGGTTTGGCTTTTTGTTTGTTTCTGTAAAGTTGGCAGCTCTGCCCTTGGCTGTTAGCACTGTTCCTTTGATTTTTTGGTGGTTCTGGGGTGGAGCCAGGGCCTTTTTCACATCAGGTAAGTGCTCTGCCCTGAGCAGCATCCCAGACCCGGTAACCTGCTTTGTGATGTCTCTCGGAGCTCTTTTCTTACAGAATCACAAAAAGCCTCTTGTTTTTCTCCACGTACAGTCATTTCAGGGGAGCTACTGCTGGATCACTCAGCTGCTTTCCGTGTGGCGCTCATGCCCACGTGTGCCTGTCTGCAGGTTACACAGGGCCATCTCGAGTGTATATCTGTCACTTTGAGAACAGATGTGTCACTGCCTCCCTTGGTGCCGTGCTGCACTCCTAGCATGTCTGAGAAGGGCAGGCTGGCTTAGCCCTGTGGCCTGAAAGCCACAGCCAGACCTGAGGGAAGCTCCAGGGCTCTCCCCTTGTCCCTGGTCTGTGATGGAAGCCCCGTCACACCTATGGTCTCTCCCAGGACACATTTGACATCCGGATTCTGATGGCCAAGTCTGTCAAGTATACAGTGAACTTCTTAGAAGCCAAAGAAGGAGATTTGCACAGGTAGTGCCCCGCACCCCGTCGCCCGGCCTGCTCCTGCTCAGCTCAGCCCTGCACCCTCCTCCTTGCAGCCTGCCTGGCTTCCAGCAACCCCTACTCTTGCCTTGCAGGATAGAAATCCCATTCAAATTCCACATGCTGCACTCCGGGCTGGTCCACGGCCTGGCTTTCTGGTTCGATGTCGCTTTCATAGGCTCCATGTGAGTGTGATAATGAGGCCCTGCCACCCTGCCAGGTGACCCGGGGCTGGGAAGGTGGGGAATGCAGCTCCTGGGCTTCCTGCTGCTTCGTGGAAACAAGTCTAGAGCAAGAGGTGGGGTGGGGACAGGACAATTCCCTGTCCCTTGTACTTGTCCTTATGGGCCCTTGTCCTTGTCTCATGGCACACAAGTGTCAGAGTGGGCACCTTCCTGGGCCAGCACTTGGGGAGAGCTCAGGAGGATAAGTTGGTTGCCCAGGTAGTGGCACCAGCCCAGTCAAGTGTGTGCCTGTCCCTCCCTGACAGAATGACTGTGTGGCTATCCACGGCCCCAACGGAGCCCCTGACCCACTGGTACCAGGTCCGGTGCCTCTTCCAGTCACCACTCTTCGCCAAGGCCGGGGACACGCTCTCAGGGACATGTCTGCTCATTGCCAACAAGAGGTGAGCTCTGCCACCAGGGCTGGGGGAGACAGGGGCACCTGGGTCCAGTGCCTCACATTGCATCACTGATCCACAGACAGAGCTATGACATCAGTATTGTGGCCCAGGTGGACCAGACGGGCTCCAAGTCCAGTAACTTGCTGGACCTGAAGAACCCCTTCTTCAGGTAGGAGGCGTTGGAGTGGGGTACGCAGGCCCTGTTGCCCGGCCCCACAGCCCAGCCCTGCCCACACTCCATCTGCTGCAGGTACACAGGCACCACGCCCTCGCCCCCACCGGGCTCACACTACACATCGCCCTCGGAGAATATGTGGAACACAGGCAGCACCTACAACCTCAGCAGTGGCATGGCTGTGGCTGGTGAGTCCAGGGCCTGGGGTGACACTGGACTCCCGCAAGGATGCTGTCCTCTGCCCCGCCCTAATGCCTCCCTTTCTGGGCACAGGGATGCCGACGGCCTATGACCTGAGCAGTGTTATTGCTGGTGGCTCCAGTGTGGGCCACAACAACCTGATTCCCTTAGGTGAGTGTCCCCTATGGTCTGGAATGGCTGGCAGGGTGGACACCGCCTTGGGGCAGGGAAGGGCTGTGGCTGGCTTGCCCACTGATCAGTGCTTGGTCCTCTGGCACCACTGTCGCGTGGCACCTCTTCCTCCCTGCTGCTCTCTGTCTCCCTGTCGCACTGCACCAGCCCCTCCCGTGCTGAGCCGCAGCTGCCCTGAGCACCAGTGGGCCACGGGCTCCGGGGCATGACGCGTCTCCCTTCCTTTCTTCCTTCCTGCCTGTCGCTGTGCAGCCAACACAGGGATTGTCAATCACACCCACTCCCGGATGGGCTCCATAATGAGCACAGGGATTGTCCAAGGTAAAGAGGGCGAGGGAGCGTGCGGCCCCACGGCGCTCACACTGCGGGGGTCGGGCGGGCCGGCGTCGCATGGCCTTCAGTGCCTCTGCCTGCCCCACAGGCTCCTCAGGTGCACAGGGTGGCGGCGGCGGCTCCAGCGCCCACTACGCGGCCAACAGCCAGTTCACCATGGGCGGCCCGGCCATCTCCATGGCGTCCCCCATGTCCATCCCGACCAACACCATGCACTACGGGAGCTAGGCGCTGTCCGCCTGCCGGCCGGACCACAGCACCAGGAAACCAAATGAAGCCGCGCCGCCGCGGACAGAGGCGCCTTGACACCCGCCGGGCCCTCCGCTCCTGAACCTCGGACACTTTTTACCGGACGTTGCCGCTGCCCCCTCCCCGCCCCGGGCTGCGAGCGCCCTCACAGCCACACTTCACACGGGGAGCGTCGTCCCTCCTGCCCCGCTGCTCGCTGCTCGGAGCTCGGAGCTTGGTGCGGGGCAGGTGGGGGAGGGGAGCGGCGTCACAGCCCCGCCCTCGCCCGTCCGCAGGCGCAGCCAGCCAGCCAGGCAGGACCTCTCAACTACCAGGCCACCACGGTCACCAAGGGCGTGACATGCTGCTTTTTTTAATTTTATTTTTTTACGAAGAGAACCAGTGTCAATCCACAGACCCTCGGAGAAACCCGGCCGGCCGGGCGCAGCCAGCAGCCCCTACGGCCCCAGGCTCCCGGGCGGCCGAGCGCGGCCCCTCCCGCCCCAAGGGTCACCTCACACTTGAATGTACATCCACCGCGTGGCTGCCTGCAGGCCTCCGTCCTCTCCTCTGCTGCTGTCGTGCCCGAGCCCCCTGCCCTCCGCAGAGCGCACCGGGCTGCTGGGCAGATGGCACCCTCTCGGCCATCTCGGAAGGTGTCCCCCGCGTAGCTGACTGACTAGGCCTGTGTGCTCCCCTCCGGGCGTGTAGACGCTCCAGTCTCCACTACCGACCGCCAAGGCATCCTGTCCCTCGCCAGCTGGGGAAGGGGCCTTGCAGGGAACTCTCCCTCCCAAAAAGGAAACAATAAATGAACAAGGAAACATGTTTCAGCACAGGCAGTTTTCTTCTCCCTCTGCTCCTGTTTCTAGTACCCTGATCTCTCAAGCAGGGCTCAGGCCAGGCCCAGGCCCGCTGCGTGTGCCCCAGGTGGGGCTGGGGGCCCCTTGTACATCCCTGCTCACCCTGGGATCCTGTTGGGACTAGGGCCTGCCCTGTGGCTGTATCATCCGAGCTGCCCCGGAAGCTCCCTGCTCGGCTGCCCGCCCTGCCTTTATATAAATTCTCTGGATCACCTTTGCATAGAAAATAAAAGTGTTTGCTTTGTAAGAAAAGTCTGGACAGTAGCAGAGTGGTCTCGAGTAGTTTAGGAAGCCTTTGGTCATTGTCAGGGCAGGTGGCATCCTGAGGTGTCGCCTGGAAGAGGCCTCTTGGGAGGCCTGGGCCTCCTCACTGCTCCCTCGCCATGGTACTGCAGGATTAGGCCGGCTCTTCCTAGGGGGTGGCCACAGACCGGGCCAGGGTGGAAGGCAGCTGTGTGTGCAGGGTCAGAGATGTCACTTGGGCTGGAGGCACCACCTGCCCTGGAGGCAATGGCTGGAAGAAATAGAGCTGCCGAGACATCTAGAGTCAGTGGTGCCACCAGCCCAGCCCAGCCCAGGGCCACCCCGCCCCTGACCTGTACCTTACAGCCCATGGCCAGGAGGGCGTGGAGGAGCACCACAGTGGACAGGAGTGCTGCAGCCACCAGCCTGGTATCCTCCCGGACAACAGGCCAGAGGGTGAGCACCAGCCCTGCTGTGGACAGGGCCAGGGCCAACGCCCCAAAGAGCCACTGCAGCCATGGCACAGGGATGAGCCACAGGACCTGGGGGTGACAGGCAGCTGGTAACCACGTCATGTATCCCCATGCGCCCCCCCCCCCCGCTTCCACCCATCACCCGGCCACACTCACCACCATGGGGATGAAGACAAAGAGCGAATAGCCATACACGCACACGGTCTCCAGGAAGCTGTAGGGGCCCATGCGCTCCCGCACACCCTGGCGCCACCGCAGAAAGCCCCACAGCGCCAGTGGCACCAGCCACGCATAGCAGTAGATGGTGATCCCTGCCACAGTCACTGTGGGATCAGGTGGCAGTCACCTCTATGCCCAGAGACTCCCTCGCTGCCAAGGGCTAGGCCTGCCACCCCTCTTACCCTTGTGAAACTGGGGGCTGTAGTGGATGGAGGGGTCCCTCCTCTGGGCCAGGACCAGTGTCAAGTTGCCAGTGACAGCCAGGACAAAGGCCAAGGTGGCACAAATCCAGAAGGGACCTGAGAGAAGACATGGCCGGAATCCCAGGCCCAGGGTCCCCAGGTGAGACACTCACCTGCCTCTCCAGGTCACTGCTCATCCCTCTCTTGCTGGCAATGTGCCACGTGGCTCAGGGGACCACATGCTCTGAGCTTTTGTCCCATCTCACAGGCAGCAATTTCAGTCCCTGAGAGTGCCCTCCCTGACTCCCTCCTACCAGCTCGGCTCTCACACCCACCTATTGCCTTCTGAGAGCCTGTTTCTTTTTCCTCCTGAGCAGAACCAAGTGTCAGTCTGTTCTCAGCTGTGCAGCAGAGCCTGGCACTCATCCCCCATTTACTGAATGAATAAGAATGAGCCAAACCTGCAACCCCACTCACCATACAGATCAGGACGATTCCGCAAATGGTGCTGTACAAAGTTGTGGCCAGGCCGGGGCAGCAGTGAGCCTTTGATGCGGTCCAGGACCTGGAAGGCAAGGCAGGCCCAAGAATGGAACCCAGGTCTGAAGACTTTTTCCCTGCAGACCTGGACTCCCTGCAAAGCCCCACCTGACAGAACTCGGCCCTCCCTTCTTAGCTTGCCAGGCTGTTCTTGTGGCCAAGCCCTGTCCACTGCCAGCTCCTGCTCAGCTTCCTGCCACTCTGCGGTGGGTGTGTAGGCCTCCCTCCCCCGGCCCCAGCAAGGACAATCAGTCCCGGGCTCTGCTGCCTGGATCTCTCTGCAGTATGCCCTATACTCTGTGCCCAGACTTACTATCACCAAGGCTGACCTGGGACTCCATCACATCTCTTCCATCTGCTCATCCCACTCACTCTTCTCCTGCTTTTGAAGCTTCCGTGGCTCCCCATCACCCTCTCCATAAAACCCAGATTCCAACTTAAAGAGCTTATGGCTGGCTGGACATGTGGCAGCACCTGGAGTTTCAGCCGCTCAGGAGGCTGAGACACAAAAGTCTTGAGCTCAGGGCTTTGAGGCCAGCATGGGCAACATCGAAAGACCCCCATCTTGAAACAACCCCAAAACAGAGTTCACAAGCCCGTGACCTCGCTTCTGCCTGTCTGTCAGACGCCTTAAATTCCAGCCAGCGTGGGTGGCCGGCAGCTTCTGCAACCCTTTGTGGAACATACTTCCGTCCCACTACCCTGTCTGGGTCCCTTCCTCCTCCAGGGATCAGCGAAGCCCTCACTACCTTGCCTTTGCCCAGTCATCACACCACATGTGTTCTTGGTGTCCCCACAACCCTAGGTGGCACCCCTGTCCTCCTATGGACTGAGCCCTTCCTAGCACCCTGTCCCCTGGCCTTACCTGGGAGGTGTCCACGTCAAAGAACCTCTGATAGTAGCTGAAGGTCCAGAACCCGGGCTGGGGCTTCTCCTCCTGCAGCAACTGCACAACACAGGATTTCAGGGCCTGCTCCTGCAGCCTCACTCGGCTGGGAGCTGGCCAGGGGCAGGGTGCAGAAGCAGGCCACTCACCGCTGTTTTATCACCCTCCTCCTCCTCGTCCTCAGCTCCATAGCTGCCACCAGAGCCCACAGCCACAGCCACGTGGCCCGGGGAGATCACCTGATCACTTTTGCTGGTGGTGGCAGCATCTGGGGACTCAGCTAGAAGATTGGTGGCTTCCTCGAATTCTATGGAGTGGAAAGATGTGACACGGGCATGTTTTGGGGGTTGAAACAATTAGGACTGGCCACTGCGCATCTGGGGGGATGCTGAGGTTTGGGCCATGGTCATCCCACTGCTCCCCAGGGACAGGACCCCGCCCCAGCTTTAGGGCGTGGAGAGGAGTTCTGTGGCATTCCTAACATGAGACAAGAGGCTCTGGTTTGAGGTCTGAGTTCAAGGCGGAAATGGATTTCAGGAACAGGACAGATCTCAGTCCGGGGTCGCCTGGTCTAGGATCACAGCCGTCTCGGGTTTGGGTTAAATAGGAATTGGGGGACGCCTGGGACGGGAGCAGAAACTGTCACACCCGCCTGTCATGAGCACTCCGGAAGGCTGTGCCAAGGAGGCCCCCCCCCCCCAAGGAGTTCGAGGCCGGCCTGGACTACAGAGCGAGATTCTTCTCAAAAACAAAAACTCTGGCCACGTCAGGGCTACACTCACCATGGAAGACCAGCTCGTCAGCCGCTGCCATGGTGCTGCAGGCGCGTCACCGCATCGCGTGCTGGGAACAGAGACCAGTCAGGCCCATACCCCTCCCGGGCCCTATCAGCCTCGAGCTCGGCCCCCGACTAGCAACACCCACGAGGAATTAAGTTAAATTCGCCGACCCAGCCCCCCAGGTGCACCCCGCCCTTCTCACCTGAGGCCACCTTAGCCGGCGTGGCCCGGGCTCTCTGCGCATGTGCGGCCCGCCCACTGGTTGGCGTCCACTCTGCTAAAACCCCAGTAACATCCGGCACCGGTCCGTCTTCTTTCCTCTTCCGGTAGGAAGCCGCTTCCGGCAACTTCGGCGCGCGGGCGGAAGTGACCCCCCGGGGGGCGGCATTTTTATTTCAGCACGGGGCACAGGCATTTCTATCCGGAGACCGGATCTCCGGCCGGAAGAGGATGGCGACGGCTGTTGTGAAGAAATTTTGGGCCCGAGGTCGCGGAGAAGCAGGTGGAGAGGGGAGTGAGGCTGCTGCTGCGAAGCCGGGCGTGTGGGCGCGACTCGGTGAGTGGCGGAGGAAGAGGGCAGCGGGGGCGGGCGCCGCGGCGGGCCGGCTCTCACCGCGGGTCTCCCTTCCCAGGCGTCTGGGCGCGCGCTCTGCTCCAGGACTACGCCGAGGCCTGCAAGGACGCGGCGGCGGCGGCGCGGGCCCGGCCGGGGCGCGCGGCTCTGTACTCGGGGCTGCTGGGCGGCGCGGCGTTCTGCTTCGCCCTGGCGCCGAGCGAGGCGGCCTTCGAGGAGGCGCTACTTGAGGCGTCCGGGACGTTGCTGCTGCTCGCGCCGGCCACGCGCAACCGAGACTCGGAATCCTTCCTGCAGCGGCTCCTGTGGCTGCGGGGCCGCGGGTGCCTGCGCCACGTGAACCTGGGGCCCTGCTCGCTCGTGTACGAGGCGCCCTTCGACGCCCAGGCCAGCCTCTACCAGGCCCGCTGTCGCTACCTGCAACCCCGCTGGGTCGACTTCCCCGGCCGCGTTCTGGACGTGGGCTTCGTGGGCCGCTGGTGGGTCCTGAGGGCCCGAATGCGGGACTGCGACATCAACCACGACGAGTTCCTCCACCTGCCCCCACATTTGCGCGTCGTTGGGCCGCACCACCTGCACTCCGAGGCCAACGAGCGGCTCTTTGATGAGAAGTACAAGGCCGTGGTGCTCACAGACGATCAGGTGGACCAGGCGCTGTGGGAGGAACAGGTGTTGCAGAAGGAGAAGAAGGACAGGCTCACCCTGAGCCAGGCCCAGTCGCTGGTGCAGTCGGAGGTCGCCAGATGAAAGCCAGAAGGCCCCTGACCTGACCGGCTTCCGAGCCCTGGTGGACTGTGCCCCAGGCGGTGCAGCTGGTGAGAGTGACAGCGATAGGTTGTGTGGAGAATGGTCCCTCCTGGGTTGTTACGAGTTGGAGGAGCCTTCCACTCTCTTTGTTCAATGTTTATTAAATCAAATTCACAGCCTTCTCGGTTTAGGAGTTGGGGGGAGCAGAGCGACTTGACCTTGCGGAGTCTTGCGCTGTCGGAGCTACTGACAAGCCCTTCGCTTTGGCCTTTTTCTAGCTGCAAATGTGGTATTGTTCAATGTTAGATCTGTTGACTAGCAGTTGAGACACTTTTCCATCTCTAGCATGGTAAAAGCAAAACAGAAATACACACACTAGTTTTCCTCATGGCCCACAAGGTCACCCTGGTAGACAAGTACTGCATTGGTCTGGTGTCTCTGGTTATTCCCGGCAACTGTTTCGGGTTTTTTGTTTGTTTCCTTGCGCAGGGTTCGTGGTGATGGTGGTGGTCCTGGTGGCCATGGGGATGAGAGCCAGGATCCAAACTAAGCTACAGCCCAAGCTGTTCTTTAATATTTATTTATTTATTTATTTATTTATTGTCCTGGGAATTGAACCCAGGGCCTCATACTTGCCAGGCCCATTCCTTCAGTTTTATTTTGAGACAGCATTTCATAAAGGTGCTGCTGTGTCCTTGGTTTCCGTCCCATGTACTGAAGTAATCCTCCATCCTCAGACTTTGGAGTAGCAGGGACAGGAGATGTCTACCAGAGTCCAGCTTCAGCCAATGAAATTTTGTTCTATACTAAGGGGTTGAACCCAGGATTTTCTCATTGAACTTTTTCTTTTTTTTTCTTTCTTTCTTTTTTTTTTTTTTTTTTGGCGGAACCGGGGATTGAACTCAGGCCCTTGCACTTGCCAGGGAGGCTCTTATTCCACTGAGCTATCTCTCCTGAACTTTTTCCTAGCCCTTTTTCAAATTTTTTTTTTGAGATAGGGTCAGTCTTGCTAAACTGTCCAGACTGGATTTGAATTTGCAAACCTTCTGGCTCAGCCTCAGTTCTGAGATTCCATATTTGCATCACTGTGCCCAACTCTAGGATTTAGTATTGTTTTATGGGTGCTTTTTGTTCGTTTTTGTTCTGTTGTGGTGCTCATGATCAAACTCAGGGTCTTGCGAATGGGCTGCACCACTTAGCTCACCCTCAGCTCCCTTGTTCTTTTTTTTTTTTTTTTTTATAGGTAACTTTTTTGTTTCAGTATTTTAAGAAAATTTTTTGGAATAACTTTCTTACATAAAAAGTTACCAGGCCGGGGAGATAGCTCAGTAGAATAAGCACTTGCCTGGTAAGCACAGGGTCCTGAGTTCAATCCCCAGTTCTGCAAAAAAAAAGAAAGAAACTAGTATCATGTGGAGACATTTTGCATAACTTCCACCCAGCTTCCCTGAAATGTAACTAATATTAAACCAATAAACTGACTTTGTCATGAATATTTGATTATGAGACGGAAATGGCAAAACAACCTAATTTTATCATATGTGGATTGACAGTGGAAGTGTTTTAAAAGGCTATGAAGGGGATGGTGAGATGGCTCAGTGGGCTAAAGCACCTACTTAGAATAAGCTTAGCAAATCACAGGGACTGTGGTTCAATCCCCCAGCACCACATGCCAGCCAGCCCCGCCCCCTGGTGGGCTGAGCTGGCCACACACACACACACACACACACAAATAATAAGGCTATGAAGTGGGGCTGGGGAGATGGATCAGAATAAGCGCTTCCCTGGGAAGTCCAAGGGCCTGAGTTCAATCCCTGGTTCCGCCAAAAAAAAAAAAAAAAGGCTATAAGGCATGCCTTGTCAAACGTATATGGTCTCAGGTTAGGGTGCTGGTACTTAGCTAGGTTATGATTATTATACCCATGAAGCTAAAATATTTGGGGAGTGTGGCCACCTCTGTCATCTGGCTGGCCTGTAGCTAGATAATAAATCTAGGAGATAAAACATTTATCTTTGTTGTGGTACTTTTTTTTGGGGGGGGGGATTGTTTTGCTTTGGTTGTGGTGCTGGGGACAAACCCAACAGCGTGCTAGACACTGCTCTGTGGTGCTGTGTTTATGTATATGCTGCTTAATTTTTGGCACGTGCATTTTCAGGTATAATGCAGGTTCACCAAACACATGATAGGTGTTAAGTCTTTTCTTGGAAGCAAGAGAGGTATCTTAAAAGAGTCTGTTTCTGTACTCCACAGAGGAAAAGCTGAGGTTGAGAAAGTTTACTTTTTCCAGGATTGTGGCAGATCCATCATTCAAACTAACTGTGAGCCTTGTGACTTAGTCCTTAGAACAGGATTGTGGTACGGGCTGGCCATGGTGGCCCAGGCCTGTAATCCCAGCAATTAGAAGGCTGAGGCAGGAGATTTGCTGAGAGTTTGAGACCAACTTGAGCTACATAATGAGTTCAGTGTCATCCTGAACATTGAGAACCTATCTTAAAAAAAAAAAGAGTAAAGAAAAAATTATGGTATGGTACTGTGTCTGACCCTAATATCTTGCCAAAGTGTGTGTGTATGTAAGAGGGGGTTGTAGTTTTGCCGGGTGGGTACTACAATGAGCTACATCTGCAGTCCCCTTTGCCAGAATTTATTAAATATGGCTACTGCTTTCCATAAATAAAACTTGGATGCAGGAGAGAAAAAAAAAATCATTGAATAGAAAAAAGAAATGGCAATGAAAACAAAGACAAAACCAGGTACAATGGCACATACCTGTAGTGCCATCACACCAGGAAGCTGAGGCAGGATTGCAAATTCAAGTCCTGAATAAGCAGCTTAATGAGATCCTATCTCACAAAAGGCTGGGGTCAATCCTCAGTAATGCAAAAAAGTATTTCAAGTATGGAATGAGGAGTACACACCTTGCTTGCTTGCTTGCTTGTGTCAGTTACTAAATGCCACTATGACTTCTAGCCAAGGGTGTCTTCATGCAGAACCCCAAATCCTCAAAGAGCTGTGGAGGTGAGAATGATGGATGACCCCAAATGCCAGCACACAGGTCTCTGTGGAATGGGGAGCCTGTTCAGCTTGAGGCTCCATGACTATCTTTGGCCGGCAGCAATCCTGGGAAGGAATCCAGGGCCCCGTACGCATCTGAGCTCCCAGCACCCACAGTACTCAGCCTATGGAAGAGAACCTCACTGCCTGTGTGGAGCCCTGTGTGGTGCACACCTGTAATTCTAGCACTCAGGGAGACCAATTTAGGGAGCCCAAAAATCTTGTATGCAAAGGCCTTGGGGCTTAACTCAGTGGTAGAGAGCACTTGCTTGGCATAGCATTCACAAGGCCCTGGGGGGAGACCTAGAGAACGGTAGAGTGCTAGAGCCCAGCCTCCTGTCTCAGGACACAACAAGATACTTGAAATCCCACATCACCACTGTCAACTCTTCTTTATTTTGGTGTTTTGGATTTGTGTGTTTGTCTTTTTTGAGACAGGATTTCATTATGCTGTCAGGTGGGCCTTGAACTCACCCTGTAGCCTAAGCTGGTCTCAAGCTCTGGTCAGCCCCGAGTACTGTGGTCGCAGAATTACGTCACCGCACCTGGCCTTGGGTTTTTTTTTGGGGGGGGGGCTTGTATTTTAGGGCAGGGTCTACAAGGTGTTCAGGGTTTCACTACCAGATTGGACTCAGTGATCCGCCTGTTTACAGCCTCCCAAGAGCTGGGATTACAGGTGCGCACCACCACGCCCAGTCTCAATTGCTGTCTCAGCGAGCCCAGGGATCGAACACACACACACACCCGCGACTGCTTGCAGGTGCTTTAATCCGCTGAGCTATTTGGCCAGCCTGGGGTTTGTTTTTTGAGGCAGAGTCCATCCCAGGCTGTTCTCTTGACAGTTCTGCCTCAGCCTCCCAACTCCTGAGATTACAATTGCGCAATAACGTGCCCATCTCCCACTTTTTCTTAAAATATTTTTTGGCAGTGCTGGAGACAGAACCCAAGGCATTATATGTGCTAGTGGGCGCACTCCCATTGAGCTCCACTCCCAGCATTTACGTTTTTTTCTAGCTTGGACTTTCCAGACCAGTCCAAGGGTTGTCCTCCAGCAGGTCTTTACTGGGAAAAATACTGTTCTTGCTGTTATCAGAAAAGCCAGCAGAGGGCGCCAGAGACCCAGAGTTTGGCTTGTCCCTGGCGCCTGTGGCCAGCCCCAGGTTGCTTTTGTCCCTGTGAAATTTGAGTACATGGCGAGCACTGTGAGCAGAATACACAGTCCCAGGCTCCATAGTGAGTTGAAGGCCAGCACTTACTACATAGTGAGACCCTGTCTCAAGAGAAAACAAAGGCATTGATGGGATCAGGATGTTGGAAGCAAGCGGGAGGGTTCTGAGGAAGATTGAAGGACAGTGTCATACTGCAGTCAAGTTCCTTGTTTTGGCTTCTAGATGAAAGCACAGCGTAGGCATTGTGTTTGGTTGTGACTCAGAGTCCTTTTTAATCTGCAGCCTGCACTGCATGTGTGCATAGTGGGTGGGCTCTGTCACCACCCCATTCCTCAAGTCCCCTCGATCCCCCTTGAGCCTGGGCAGAGGGCACCATCACAGAGGGGAAGTCTGTGCGTAGCTGCCCAAGTTGGTGTCGGGGTGTGGCCTGAGCAGGCATGTCCTGAGCCCCCCATATGCTGATGGAGTCAGAACTCTTGAAATGAAATATTAACAAGGGCAGGGCTGGAGATCAGTCGTGGAGGACAGGTAGAGCACGTGGCCTTCTCCTGTCCCGCAGCCACTGCTTATTATATCCTTTACCCTGTCTTATACTTCACAGTGTCATGTAGTTGGAGTCATATAATAGCCGCTTTTTTTTTTTTTTTTTGGCAGAACTGGGGATTGAACTCGGGCCCTTGTGCTTGCCAGGCAAGCACTCATTCTACTGAGCCATCTCCCCAGCCCCATAGCCTTTTCCTTATTTGCTTTGTTTTGCTGTTGTTTGTTTGTTTGTTTGGCAGAACTGGGGTTTGAACTCAGGCCCTTGTGCTTGCCAGGCAAGCGCTTATTCTACTGAGCTATCTCCCCAGCCCCTTGCTGTTGTTTTTGAGGCAGGATCT